GACTCCAACTGTTTTTCCTGTAATAAGGGGTCAAATGAAAGAGCTTCACATGTTTCTAGCTCCTGATGTTACTTCTTCTGGAGCTGGAGAACTGTGAAGGAGATGAGGATTGATCAACTGAACACAACTGTTTTACCGTCAACATCGCGGATCGGGTCCCTCAACTCTAGAAGGAACCTAAGTGAACACGTTAGTGAACACCATTTAAAAATTCAGGCCCTGGTAGCAGTGCATGTACTCTGTGCTTGACCAGCCGCGAACCGGATCAGATTTTTAGCGTTTGAAACTATTTCCACTATTCTCAGCTGGCCTCAAAGATCACTCACCAACTGAATGAATCGGCTTCGTTGGGAAGCTGAATTCATTCAGTTGAGGCTAACGGCCAACCGCGCAAAATTTTGTTTTTTTTTTTCTATTCAGAAGAAGAGCCGCTCGACGGAAGACACTACAACTTCACGGGTTCATATGGTTTTTTTTTGTTGCACACATTCTCTTATTCGATGTTTGTCATATTGTTCTGGATTGCGTTGGGTCGGGTCGCATCGGACCTCTTTGGTAGAGTCGGGTCGAGTCGGGCTGGTTCGGATAGAATCGACCAGGAAGTGACTTATCGCCTCCTCAAGAGCAGGATATTTTATGGATCTGTAATGCACAACTTTTTTGGGCAGCAGGAGTAGAATCTATATCAGGAGAAAAAACAATCTCCCCTTGAGCAGCTCCTACAAATAACCTGAGTTCGGTTTCTGTTTCTAAACCAATCCATTTTTATATCGTGGGTTCTTTCGGTTTCAGAATTTTGTGATAAATAATACTCTAAATCCACTTAAAAAACATTTTTTTTGTATCTAGTAAAAAATTACTGAAGAGGGGCGAAAATAAAATGTCTGAGATGCAATTTGGAATAAAAAGTTCAAGTGAGTTCAAGAAAATCCAATATCTTTGAGGTAGTCGTCCATGTTCTAGAAATATTGCGCTTCTAAAATATCATTTTCAAAGTATATTACCACTCGAAACTTCATTAATATTCGTAATATTCGCGATTACTTTGAAGTCNTTTCTGAAAGTATCAATTTTTTGAGTTCCCTCTTCAAACTGTATTTATTATGGATCGCTTTAAAAGAATTCGGCATTATGTTGTACAATTTTGGTCCTAAATATGTAAAACATTTCTGATCCACTGCTTTATTTGCCCTGGGTATGGCAAGATCGGCCGATATTAAGGCTCTTGTATTGAATGGATGACTTAATTTACATGTATTGTTTACGCTGAAGAATAAAAAATATTGCCGTTTTGCCAAATAAAAATAGAAACCAATTTCCAAAATTTCTATTTTTTCCGGATATCTCCGGATATACTAGGAATTTCAGAACTTTTTCAACGGCATATTGTTAGTCAGGTAAATGCGCAACTTTGCCCCAATTCAACCATCTTCATATCTCTCATAGTTTCCGAGATCCCAATGGTGAGGATCGAATTTGAAACACCCTTTATAGAAACGATAGCCAGCAGTTTTTACCGACGGTAATACTACTTTGATAGCTGATTTGTATGGAGTTTTGAAATTTGCACGTTTAACTGAAGATGAAAATATAACTTTCAATTTATTGCTCAGTCCATGGATAGTGAATACCTGTTAAAAAGGCTTAGGAGAACTGTAAAATATACCATCAACAAATACAGATTGTATTTCACATAAGGTTCTAATATTCGAAACTGTAAAAAAGCAAACAATATTCTTGATGAAATCGTTGATTTGAAGAAAATCCATCGGTTTCATTCGTATCGATTTTTATACTATTAAGAGCGTCATGAAAATCATTGCATGACAACGGACGTTTGAGAAGATTGGACAGTCTGCAGTGGTTATTATCATTACAGATTAGAGTAACAGTTTTAGAACGTCTGCATGAAGGAGTTTGGATGGAGGTGCTGAGAAGTCGTCGAGGATTCTTCTCTTTTTGTCGCTTCAAAAGGCTTTGAAAGGCTATAAAACAATTCAAAAAACTAAAAAAAAATTTGACAATAATTATAACGAAGTGTATTTGCTTGTTTCAGAAGGGTGTGATGCGTTTGTAACCGTGACAAGAGGTCAAATGGTTTCAAATTTTGGATTACGTGTCATAATTAGGTTACTGCAAAGAAACATAGAATATATAAATGACTGAATATGCATCTTCATCTATTTCTATATTATATTCACCTGAAACAATAGAAGTCGCCGTATACGTTTTTGAATTACCATTATCATAAAAGGTTATTTTGTGAGAAATCCAATTTTTTTTAAAAAATTGAAGGAACCTCTTCGATCACTTGTGTCAACAGAATTGATAAAACGAATAAAAAGATATTTTTGAATTTCATGATTATGAGTAAATTCTGCATATTTTCAAAGAGCGTTTTGTTTTTCCACACAGCAGAAATTTGATGGAACTTTTTGTACTATAGTTTGTGAATTAATAACAGATCACTCACATATGATTGAAAAAACAGTCAAGTTCTACTTTATGTTCACACTAATTTCTTCTGCTCAATAACTATCAACATGCTGTAAAAGGGATCACTTATACGAGTGAATTTCAATAGATAACAGGAAATTCAATTTGATTCCAATTGTCAGCTTCACTCGAAAGAAAGCATTAGCTTTCTTTCAAATTTGAAATGTTCCTACTTCCATGATTTTGTTTACAATTATAACAATGTTCATCACTTGCACAAAAAAACAAATTAACCTTTCATAGATCTGGAAAGTTTTTAGTGGAAATTTTATAGTTGTAGACCACATGCGATGTTCTGAAGATAGTTCGAGTTTTATACCAGCTGTATCCAATAATATCAAATCACAATTTTCAAATCAAATTTATTGCATCGCAAAACAAGCTCTGAGCTCAGTATTTTTCCCTTTGTCCTCTGAAAGATTCTTCATAGGATATTAAAATGAGACTGTATCAATCAGTCGTAATACATTTCGACCAATTATTGTATTCCTGTTTGGAAACACTTTCATATCATGTATCGGATTCGAGAGAGCTTCTTCAGTAACCTCCGTCTAACCAGAAATGCCTCCTGCTGACAGTATCGTTCACTTAATACGTGTTGTTCCTAATTAAAGTTCTGGATAATCGAGACGGCTTTCACTTGGATGGAGTGTTGAACATATTCAGTTTGGAATTCTAACTGTTTTCTCAGAAAAAAACTGTCAAAAAGATATACCAACCACCAATGCAACTGGGCTTCTTTATTTGATGATTTAAATTTCGGGGCACCACTGGAATCAATGAAGTCGCATCGGAGCGCCAATTAATTTTTATTAATTTTTTATTTTTATCGTTGTTTTAATGAAAATTTCTATAACTTTTGACAATATTTTTGACGAAATTAAAAAAATTATTTTTAATAACAATATTTCCCTTCAATTACTACAAATTCGAAATATTCTTGCCCCTATACAGATGACAGGTATAGGGACAATGAAATACATCAAAGTACTTCAAAACATCAGTTATTTAGGAAAGAGACAGTAATTTCCAATAGAGCTGAAGTTATCAGTACATACATTATGAATATTTTCGGGCTGATAGAGCTTTTATCATGAATGAATTGAAGATTACCTTTCCATTAATGTCTGATTTTTTGTAGCTATACCATTTACATCGAAAATGTAATTTTCATGATTATTTCAACTCCATAATATGCATTGATTCCTTTCCCTTTATCATTACTAAATTTTGCATCATATTTTTCCCTAACTGTATTTATTATCATGCAAACGACGAAACTCAAATTCATAATTTTTATATCAATTGGGAATAAAGGTAAGTTTTATAAATAAATAACATACTATATCACACATTTAGTCGTGAATTCGATTCAATGGAAACATCTGGGAGCGCTGCCATGCCGGTTTTTCATTGCCCCACAAAAAATATAAGAAAACATTCTTTGTTGGACTTAAAGGGATTCAACAACAGATTTTTGTAGAAACCTTCATAATTTAGCCTAAGGTAATGTTACTATTAAATTTATAGTAATGTGAATGAATTAATATTCGTATAGCAATTACTACTTTCGAATTCAAAGGATTTCTTCAAGATCACTCTTATGTTAAGTTTAATTTTCAATACGAGCATAAAGGAAAATCTGAAGCAATTGGTCTTTCTCTGAGGTGAGATGGTAATTCAGTCAATATTAAAAAAATCGGTGGAGTTCTGATCGGGGTTCCAGAAATGATTCAGTACAATGATATAAATATTAATCGTTGCATTTTGAAATACTCTGGAGTGATGGAAAAAATTTTAACTGAATTTACTCAGTTGTAATCAACAATAAAAGTTGAATTGAATGTTCAATCGATGGAGAAATAATAATTCATCATCATTTTGACAGTAGCATATATACAGGGTGTTCCAAATTAAGTCGGCACCATTGCCAACTCCGTTATTATTGATGCTACGAATTTGGTTGAATGGGCAAATTAGTAGCATTTTTAATAGCCTTCTCGATGATAAAAAAAATTACTGTCAAAATATTTCATAAAATTAATTTTTTTCAAATGGAATCCCCTAAAGTTTATCATACATTTCGATTCGTAATAACATTCTCAACAACAAACCTCGCATCATCCTGGTGACGAATGATAGTTGGAAACCTTTTTCCACCAAGGCGCCCTCAATGTCAGCGATCTCCAGGTGTTCCGGGACCCCTCTGTAATTAGCCTGTTTTCAGGAAGGGTATACCTGTCATGAGGAATTTTCTCCCTCACCAATAATTTGGACATACTCCTTTAGTCCTCGATCGAAGAAGGCTGAACTTTAATGCTGTCAGCTAGGTTCACTGCTATCGTATAGTTGACCTTGTGAAAGGTAGCCAACTTCGTGAATTGAACCCACTTGTCCTTCTGACGAACGACAATTGGGGGAACGCGAGTTATCTTGATGTTTTGGGGCATCTCAGGACGCGGAGGGATGGGAGGGCAAGCTTCCTGTTCCGTGTGATTTCTAACCTGGTTAATTTCGTCGATTCGAGTGGGCCACCCTCTACGGTGGAGATTGATTTTTCTCCTGTATCAGAGCCATCGCTCATGTTGACAGATGATTCAGTAGTTGAGAGATCTTCTGAGGAATTCCGAGCTTCATCACGTGGTTTTGTCAGTTTTTTGACAATCTTTTTTGACTTAGCGCCGGTATTTTTTACTGCCTGAGATGCTGCTTTTGAAGAAGGAGGAAGAGGAGGAAAGTCTTCCGGGAGTCTTCGTTTCTTGTTTGCCGTCGGCTCCAACCTCTCTGGCTGCGCAGAGAGGTTGGAGCCGACGGAGGTATCCTTGGAGGAAACTTTCCTTGGCGGACGATCAAGAAGCTCCCTGACCCCTGGTGGAGGGCCAGAAGGCTCCCCAATTTCCGACACGGGAATGCCTCTTAGCAGCTCTGATGGGCTCAGGCCCAGACGGTCAAGTAAAAGGTCTATGAAGCCAATCACTTCACCCCTGTCCCTGGCCATCAGGCCGTCTAGTATTTCCTCCATACCGCTGTCGAAAGTCTCACACCCTTCGTTGTCCCAAGGGCAGGCGATGGTAAAATGAACAGTTCCGTGAAATGATAACTCCGAACGCACTCACCAGAAGTCCGGGCGGTTCTTGCACACTACCTATAACCAGCGCACCCACTAACACAAGAGATTAACTACTGGTGAACGGCTGATCATCCACCAGAAACAATCGTTTATATGGAAATAACTTGGAAAATATCGGAGCGAAAATTAATCTGTTTGTCTGAAATGATACACTTGAGAATATTTGACAAATTGTATTTCAACGTTTCAAGGCAACTTGATTACTCATAATGATTTTCTATTATCGAATCAAACACATCGTTTCTTAATCTCATTGAAATGACGCTCCAGCATTTTCTGTTCTGTATATACAGAAACGGTTTCAATGTTATCATTATAGCAGACATATTTTGATTCACGAAACCAATACGGTTATAGTAAAACGGCTTTAAGATGGAAATGACCGTTTTGTAAAATATTACCAAATAGCTCAGTGCTGTCAAGTGAGTGGTACGACATGATGACCACGGTTTTCACGAGTTCATATCCCAGCGCAATTTTTTTTTTCTGCTGTTAGTAATAAAAAATTATCATTCGTTTAAATACCAAAATTGGTATTTAAACGAGGTTTTAATTTCCAAAACAGAGAAATGTTTTGTACTAGTTGAATAAGTAAATTTCCACATAAGTCGCTCACTTACAACTTTAGGAAGAAAGGTGATATTAGATTAGTTGTTGAGAATGGTTTTACAAATCAAAATGCATGATGAGAAGTAAGGTGTTCCATTTAAAAAAAAATATCATTTTGTGTAATATTTTAATAACGCCACTGTTAATTTTTTTGTTTTCGACATCGAGAAGGCCATCAAAATGTTTTTAGTTTGTCCAGTTTGTGCCGACCTAATTTGGAACACCCTGTATAATGTATCCTTCTCTAGTTGATCTTGTTTTCATATGCAGTATCGTGATGACTGGACATACATGAAAGGCGACATCAAAGGCCATTTCGAATTATCAATATCGGCAACTCCATATAAACTTAAAATGCCTTAACAAAATGCCATATAGAAACCTTCACGGGAATTTCAATAGAAATCGATGTTGGCTGAAAGCGATTTTAGTTACTCATTTTTAGTCGGCGTAAAACCATTCGAATAATCTTTCCGCAACAATTCGTTCCAATTACTGGAAGATATCGACAATATGAAATGTTTCTGACGTTTTCACAATGAAAGGCATTCTATGAAGCGCTTCGTCAGACGTTTTGTTGTTTATTGTACTGTGAAACTTGATGAAAATGATACCATAAAAGCAAATCTATGAAAAAGTTTTCTTTTATACTTTTCAAATATGGGTTTCGGAACGAATATCTGCCACTGAAAACAAGAGAAGTATTGTAAAAAGTGGTGATTTGAAAAATAATCCAAATAATTTGAAAGTAGATTCGCAAAAATGTATTATAAGAATTTTGAATTCTGAATGATTCTCTACAGAACAGTTGAAGTACTTGAAGATTTTTATCATCAAAAACCTCAATTTTTGTTCCTATTGTGTTAATCAGAACTCTAGTTCTGAGAAACCACGGTTCCCTAAGCTACACTTTTACTACAAATCACGAATAATTTACTCGAACATAAAATATCCGACAACTTAGTTTGACACATGCATTAGTGAGTGTCAAAATGAAAATACAACAAAATACTGAAGTTTTCAACTTGACTTTTGTCATGCTATTCTCGTATTTGAATTAAACATAATTTTTCATATCATCGCAACAAATTTGTAGCTTTTCATTGTTAATATTATAAAATAATGCTATCGTCGTCAAATATTCATGTGATTTATATGGAAGTATTCTTTGCCGTTATATTGGAAGAAGTTATAACAATACACTTTGTTCTTAACTATACTGATATCGGATAACTCCTTGTACTACATCGAATATTACAGGAGTCAATAAACAACATTGACATATTTCACATTTCAAAACTTATTTTACATCTGTCGAAAAAGTTGAGGAATAAAAAGAATCGGCGAAGAAAAAACTTCATAAACTACACCTTACGATTTGATCTACACAAACTTTGTCGAGATCAAATCATAAGCTGTAGTTTATGAAATTACTATGGATCTTCATCAAGTAACGGCCGAATCAATCAGAAAAAAAAAAGGAAAAGAAAAAAATTTTGTACATTTCTGAAGCGGAGGCATATTTTAGCCTCTGAAACATTGAGATGAGTAATGTATAATTCTTCAGCTCTGTTTTTGATAGGCACAATTATTAAATACAAGTTAGTTGTGGATTGAACATTTTAAATTTAGGCCTTAACTTATCGGGGTAAACTGAAAATTCAGCTTGTCTCCACGTGTATAAAGTTCTCCACTGAAGTTTTCATATTTTTCAGATTGTGGAGGGTGGAAAGTCACTACTTATTTTTGGGAAAAATAAAAAACAATTATTTCATGTGTTTTCATAAATTATGATGTAAGGTGGATTATGGTATCTTAAAATAAATAATTATGTTTCTTCACATGGAATGCTTAACAATCGAAACTTTTTAAAAAATTGCTCGAAATAAATATTTGAAAAATCTATTTTGAACAAAAATAAAATTATACGACTGAAGAACAGAATGAAAGAATTCCCCATTGCACATTTAATTTTATGATCCGCTGAGCGTTAATGGATTAGAAAAATATAGATAAACATTTTACAATAACATGGTCGACACGACATGTAATTAAACCATCATAACCTGATATAATTGTGAAATTGGGAAACCAAACAAAAATTATCACATTGAAAACTACGTGATATCCTTTATTGACGAAAAAATATGGTCAATTTTTTTTATAGTAGGAAGTAGTAAGACTGCTGAAATGAATCCTAGATCTGTAAAACCTACAAGCTAAAATGGATAAAAAGGTGCTACATCGTATTTAGATTGCTTTGTTGAGCGTATAAAATGAAAGGTGGTAAAATGAAATGTTACGAAATTTTAAATACCCAAGTCGTTTGGATTTCGACGCAAATAATGAAATATTTGATTTTTGATATTTCCAGAATGAACAATAATCTGTTGGAGCTCTGAAATAACTAGTGAACATCGTTCGAATATCCGCCACGGTTTCTGCGGGCGGAGCGCATTCGAAACATCAAATTTTCCGTTATTCTGGCGCAAAAATCGGGCTGAATTTGACCGATGATATGGGTTATGTTGGCTTTGAGGACCGCTGTGGTTTGTGGCTTATTCGCCACTTGAGAAAACCACATACTTGCCACTTGAGAAAACGCCACAAGAAAAGTCTAACGGGTTCAAATCACACTATCTCGGTGACCAGTACACAAAACCTCCACATGAGATGATCATACTTTGAAATCACAGAATGCGGCATGAGCTGTGTGGCATGTAGTGCCGTCCTGTTGAAACCACATGTCATTGGTGTTCAGATTATCCAATTCATACCAAAAAGTTGGTAATCATTGCACTATAGTTCTCGCTGTTGACAGTGATGGCCTTGCCAACGTCGTTCTGAAATAAATTTGGAACGATACCGTCGCCAGCCCAAATTCCACACCAAACCGTGACTTTTTCGGGATGCATGGGCACTCTTGGATCTCATGTGGAGTGGTATCGTCCCAAATTTGACAATATTTTTTTTTTCACGTACCCATTCATCCAGAAATGGGCCTCATTGCTGACGGTGATTTTTCGATGAAAATTAGGGACAGTTGACAACTGCTCCTGAATCCATTCAGTGAACACATACCGTTGTCTATGGTTGTTTACCTTCAGTTCCTAGGTCAGTTGAATTTTGTTTAGGTGCAAATCCAAGTCACGACGCAAAAGTCGCCGAGTTGTGGTCTGCGAAGGGCCGAGTTCTTAGGAGCGAGGCGAAATGGACTGCCTCGGATTCTCCTGTACACTTTCATAGACAGCGACGATGGTTGCGTTTTGCAGACGGGTATTTCTCGATAGTTTACTGAACCAGTGGATTCGAATTTATCCACCACATTGCGAGTAGGTCCTCCCGGTATATCGGGTTTGGAGACCGTTAAATGGCGAAGCGTGCGTTACGTTGCCTGAAGAGAACACCCATTTTGATAAAACAATCTTATTATTTGCACGTGTTGGTGATCATTCCAATGAATTGTTGAATACTATATCAGTCTATGGTGATTTGTCAAAACAGACTGAATGAATAACTTTTAATTTGACAGATGTAGCTTCAACAAGATTGGCCGTTATCGATTGTCAAAGTTCGGAAGTGCCTGTTGGAAGAACCAAAAACAAATGCGAAGTTGCAACATTTTTTCTAGTCGAAATAAAGGTTTATAGCAGGGTATTTTTTCATCAATTAAGACGCTTTGATTACTTACCGTTTGAGAAAACAGTTAAAGTTGACAGACAGACCAACAGAATGTATTTGTATGTTGAATTTTTTATCAAAATAAACGTGATAATAAATAAAGGAGAGAGAAAATAACTTTTGTCTAATTTCTACCAAGATTTTTTATTTGTTACGACGATTTCAGTTTATTTAACCATTCTCAGGTAAATATAGGATGAAGAAAATAACATTTGCCTAATTTCCACTGAGATTTTTACTTGATATGACTGGTTTCGGTCATATCAAGTATATAGGATGAGTAAACTCATCCTATATTTAATATGAATTTCTACAAAATAAATTGGTCATCAATCGAACAAATTAGATCCGCTAACGTAATAATAACAGTTACTAACAAAGAGACAATCTAATTTTTTTTCCAAAATCTATGAATACAGCGGATGTTACTGAAATTCTGGTCCCAGTACTGAAACCACAAACTGTTTCAGGAGGGCTTTCTTCCAGTTTGTGTTTGAAAGTTACTTCTTTGCATGATCTACACATCCATGTATAGAGTTACTTATTTTCAAATTGATTACTTCCGTTTGTTCTTTGGAAGATTCCCACATTTTTTTGTTTCA